TAGTTTCATGATCTATTTCAAGGTTTCCTGACAGAGCTGAGCTGCATTATTCATTTAACAAAATCATCCACAACCCAAGGTCAACTTTCTACAGCACCTCAGTTTCTTAACAAGACAGAGGTTTGTCACCGTTCAATATTCAGCTCGGATGAGGTCTTATAGTTAAGCTGCTCATGCAATTGTTTTGATAACATTAAGCACTGAATTGTAAAGGTTGCTGAAAACCTCCTCAGTTTTGTCATACTGGAGTTGAGCAATGGCACTTGCAGGAAGTGCTGATTGTTTGACGCCAGTTTCCCAGATCTGAAGATGTAGATGGTAACAGCTCACATGGCTGTCTGGATGGAGCCATTTCTACACAGCTGCCAAAGAAAAGTATGGAGAGAATAAGAGCTGCACATTACACTATTTCAACACAAAAAGATAAAGATATAAGATACAATCTATAATCTTCTGGAAACTCTTCTATACAAAGTCCTTCCACAGACCCAATAAAGAAATACACAGAAACTATTTTTGAGTGTTTATTCATCCAAATCAAATAAGAGCGTGAGAAGCCTGCTGCCTAAAATTTGGCAGCACATATTTCTAGCATAGCATTTTCATTTCAACTTTGAAATGAAATGTCTCACAAAAGCTCATTGATGCGAACGGCCTTTTCAGCCACAGTGATTGCGAATTACTTTAAGGAGATTGGTTCCTGCCGTTGCTCTGCAAGGCAGAGTGGTTTGCTTGGTGCCAGGATAAACAGAGAGAGGAGAATAAGTTTGCCCTTTTCCCTCTCTTTCTCTCTCTCCCTGTGTGTGTGTGTGTGTGTGTGTCTGTATATACAGTATAGGGTACAGCATAAGCTTGACGATATGCAGATACTGTATGTACTGTATGCCTGTGTCACTGGGGTGTCAAGTACACATCGACCTAAGTGTGATGCCCTTTTTCCATGACACAACTTGGTAATGTGGCAACAAGGGAGTGTTTGTTTAAAGGGGTGGAGAGTGAGCAGTTCGTGGAAAGACAGAAATAGCAACAAAGTAAGGGAGGAGAAGACGTCTAGGAGACTCCTGAAAACAATTAAATATATATATATTTAGGATTTTCTGAGACCCATATATGACCTGTTTATAGTCCAGGCCATTGAAGTTATATCAAGATGGACAATGCGTCTCCACATTCTCCCACTATCTAGAAATGGAGATACAATATCCCTGATATAAACACCATCTCAAACATTTGGACGCACAGTCACATCACATTGCTATAAAAACAAAACTTACTAGACAAATGAAAACTTGAAAATATGTCAGTAAGATAATGATCATCAAAATGTATTTGATGTAGACTTTTAGTTTGGTGGATGTCCCATCTGTTAACATGGATGAAGTGGGTTTATGACCTACAGGCTGCAACCAGTCAGCCGGTGGTGATCAAAGCCCTTTAGCTTCACATTTGGGAAGCCATCATGTCGTCCATCTTAATAAACGGTCAGTGGTCCAGACAGTCAGCAGGCTAAGTTATATAAAAGTTTTGCTGAAGATGTTATTTTCTATTTTACCATAGAAACACAATGGGATCACACATGTTGGACATCAACTGAGCTTGAGTATTAAAACTCCCGTCATTACTTTAGTTATTGGTATCAGTTTACCTCAAACACATCAATGAAACAGAAGTTGTCAATGAGTTTTACACACTTTTGGATCAAGTATAAGATGGCTGCCAGTACAGTGAACCAATAAGTTGTAGAACCTCACATCCTCAGGCCTTAGAGAATGAATTACACAAACAGTTGTTTACATGCTGGGATTAAAGTTATGCTAATACACTGAGCGTCTCATGCAGGTTGAAAATCAGGATCCATGAGATGGAACAAATTTCCCAAAGTGCACGTCAGAGTGTAAATTTCGTCAAAGATGAACTGCTCCTCAGGCCAAAGTGATTACTTGCATCAAAGATCGTTCGGATACGGCTTTCAAAACAATGACGGAAATTAGATGTTCATGAAGATCACTTGAGGCAGCAGCGCTTATTAATTACATTATCTCTTCAGCCTTGTTTGTTCATACAATTAATACACAGAGACCTTTCTCTGCCCCTTTGATTTAGTTACTTCCTCCTGTATTCACTGTCATAAAAACGGATGTTATGGTAATAAAGGAATTGTTGTTCAGAACCGTTCACAGCAGATTTCACGCTGCATGTGAACAAACACAAACTCGTGTAGTTCTTTGCTGTTTTTGTTTTTTTCTCACAGCAGTCACAGTTCCCTCGGTCTCTAAAAGCAAAGTGTGTCAACAGTCCAGAAAATGATCATGGGCCTCGGTTCCCATTTTGCTGAGCATTTCGTCTGAGGCCTGTGAAATATGTTCTCGTGACTCATGTCAAAACTGAAAGATTCCACTGACTTCCGTTTACATTAAAAACAGAAAGATGAGATTCCAAGAACATAGAAAAATACTTTATTTGCCGTCATCGCCCACATTTGCTCTCCTTTATCATTGTATCTCTATATGTCAGGATAAATTATGCATGCAGAGCTACACACAAAGCCCAGCCAGGCACAAAATAAAAAAAAAAGAAATAAAAAAAAAAAGAATCACCTCAGCAATTTTTTTTCAACTGTGGAAACAACAAAAACATGTCCTAAGTATTAAATGTCATGCATAATGAAGGGATCATATAAATAAAACAATCCGGCTGATTTGCTGTTCAAACAGCAGACAACCTCCTCTCTCTCTGATCGCAGTGAACTGACACCAGAAAAAAAACATATATATTTTATATTTCATACCTGCTGACTCCTGCCGCTGGTTACAGCTGATACAAAGTCCCTGGGAAATAAATGTTCAAAGCGAGGGAAATCAAAACACACTGAAGCTCAATGTTACAAAATGCTGTTTAACAGGTGTCGACAAGGAAAGTGTGAATGGTGTGTGAACATGTCAAAACAAAGAGGGGAAAAATACAATACCCCACAACACAGTTTGATGGATGTGAAATGAGTGATAATGAGGATCAGTGACTCATGGTCCACTAATAACCGACTGCTGCTGGGAGGCGACTGAGATGGAATAAATTAAAAATAACTATTAGCATTCGTGTGTGAATTGTTGAGCGGAACAGAAAACTTTTCTGACTGAAATAAAAACTGAGAGGAAGAGATTCTAATATAATGTGGAAGCCCCAAAAATAAATTAACAATCAAATGAGATGTTAATAATAACAATTCCCGCTATGTTGGAATCAATGATAAGTTTGGTTTAAGATCCTCCAGCATGAGACTCCCTGCTGCGACTCCATGCTTCAGCATCTCAGGTTGGAGAATCGGATCAATCTTGTAAATCTCTCATAAATCTCTTCTTCTTGTGGTTTAAAAGGAATTGTTTGACATTTTGGGGAAATACGATTCCCTCGCTTGTCGAGAATTAGATAAGAAGATTGGAACTGCTCTCAGGTCTTGTGAGTTAGATATAAATTCGGAGCCTGCAGTCAGACTGTACAGAAAGTGGAAACAGAAGAGGAAAAGTGTTTATGGCTCTGGATGTAGCTCACAATTACCGGCACTTCTAAAACTCACCAATTAACATTTGTAGTCTTTGTTTAATCTGCAAAAATGCTCTTAAAAGAGTAAAAGTAACAATTTGTTGTTTTACAGGAAATAATATAACCGTTCGCGAAACAGGTCTATTCTGTTTTTGCAGGTTAAATAATTACACAAAGGAACATTAACTATTTCCAGTCTTTGTGCAGAGGCCACAGCTACTTTCTTTTCATCTAGTTTGACATAAATCTGTCTTTTCCTGCTCATTTGTTATTATGATTGTTTTGGTGTTAAGAACGTCTGCCACAGCTAATAATAATAAGAGACTCTGTAAACTAATTACAAACCACAGTGACATGTTCAGGTGTTGGCTAAACATTTCAATGATGATCTCCTGGCAATCCCCTCAGTGTGGGAGGAAACACTGATTAGTCACCATGCATTGCTACTGAGGCTTTTTTTTGTTATACAGGCCAAGGCTGCAAATTAAAACTCGGTGTGCACATGGAGCAGAACCTCACTCTCCACATAGGAACGTGTGTCTGTTTGAGCAGGGTCCTGATTTCCCAGCAGTACTTGAGCAGGAAAATCCACTAAGCGCAAGTGTAAACTCATTCGTAAAGATGATGATGCTACCGAGACGCTTCTGCCTAATTGGGTTTTGAGATATCACGCGCCTTAACGAAATAAAATGAGCCTTCGGGCATCATCCACTCAAATCAGAACGTTTGATTGATTCTGAGTTTTGCTTCTTCTTGAATATTCCAAGAAAATGTTGAGTTAATTCAGTTCAGAAATAGACTTTGAATGCTTCTTCCAGTCCACATAACTCTTGAGTTATTTTTACATGCATAATTGAAGAGTTTGACTGACAGATGAAATACATTCACATTTGTTTGTTTCTCGGCTGAATGTCATTTTACTGCTGCTGTGTTTACAATGTTCATACATGGATGCAGACCTTGGCCTGGATTTATTAACTTAACACTTAACAATGCTCTGAAGAGACGACTTCAGAACTCAAACTTCTGCTCAGGGCACCCAATAAGACATTTTTGTGCAGCAGCTTGCTCCTCCTCCATCAGAGGTGCAGTGGAATTATGCTGTCTTCAAGTGAGGAAACAGAATATTTGCAATTTGTAAAATGTGGTTAAATTCATACAGGATTTTTAAGCATTTAAAATTTTTAATCATTGTAGCATTAATACTGCCAGGCTTTTAACACGTACTAACCCTAAGACTAACCCTGACCACATCACATCAATCCTTGCTGCTCTCCACTGACTGAGGCTTCCTA